GCTGAGCATAAGCTCTATAAAGTTGGCTTGACTCAGCTTGTTTACAGCCTACGAAATGGCTGATCTCATACTTAAATATGTCTCCTTATAGTGGCCAGTTTAAGCTTTCACCATGTCACCTGACCCCTTTTTTTTTATCAAATATATATATATATATATATATATATATATATATATATATATAAAGTAGCATTTTGAATACTAAAGAGTTGAACTATCACAAAAATATACTAGGCCATGTAGAAATTCCCACGTCTTGAAGAACCGGCTGGCTGGTGATTGTCCCTTCCACTTCCAAAACCTTTTCTCCTTTTGCTGATCGAAATGCAGAAAGGAGAGATGACCCTGATTGGGTCTTCAATTTTCTTATTGCCCTTTAAGAAAGACAAAAAAATTAATATTTAGAAGTTGGATTTGATGTGACCTTATTTATAAATTCATGATAGGATACATTATTTAAGCTTGAAACTTGAACGGAGACTCAAGAAAACGTCATCAGAATATCTCCCATCAGTTAACTGGACTCATGTACACATATTTTTCTGAAAGTAACATGTATGTGTGAGATTTGTCAAACCACCAAATTACAAATTCTGAGTTTCAACAAGAGTATATCTAAAGAAAACAAGGGTTGAAGTAGTTTTTAGTTTAGCATACAGTTGCCAGTTTGAAGAGAGCCTTGCATTCCTATGCATGCTAACTCTATTTTCTTTCATTAATTCTTTCTTTATTTCTTTGTTTCTGATGCACACTTTCTTATTTCTTTACACTTAGAATAGCCTTCCTTAATTTATAATTATAGTAACATAAAAGCTAAAGCATGTGGTTCCTATTTTGTAGCATAACTACTGCATAAGACTCAGCTTAAATGAAGACTGGACTTATAAATTTGAATATCTGTGTCATGTTCGATTTTCTATTAATAGTTAATAAGTTGGTGTATATGTCTTAAGATGACTGTTCGTGTTCATTCTAGCTTCTCGTGTTTATGGTTATCTTGTTCTGAGATTTGTAACTGTAATTCTTGATTTGCAAACTAAATCCTATTTGGTGAAAAATTTTATGATCTTTTTTATATACTTTTTTTTTTTTTTTTTATGAATTTTAGTTATAAATATTTGTGAAGATAATGACTGAAACAGGATCTCCCTTTGCAGGATTTGAAAGACTAATTGGTAAATTTGGGTTGAACTTTAGTCTTGAACAAGCTGAAGGCCCTTATTGTGGATTATAATTTTTACAATTGCAGCACCCTACGGTCTTACCATATTTTAGAGTGCTTTCATCACTTCATACTGGTAAGTCATATCTTTAATTATTTAAATATATATATATATTTTTTATTCCAGTTTTTTTCATGCTAATAATAAATTGGATGTTAACCGCATGAAGCATAAATCTGTCAATTAAGACAGGCACCCAATTGTATATGAAACAAAGTACAATATAAAGTAACAAAATTTATTAATATATAAACAACAAAATTTTCATTTTTTTATTTTTTTATTTTCTTTTGTGTGTGTGTTTTTGTGTTTGAAGGTTGAAAGATTTGTGTAGTTATTCAGTTGTAGAAGCAACAAAAACACTTCCAGTGCTTCCCAAAAATAAAAATCATCATTATCATGGTGTTGTCATAAAACTTTATTTGAAAAAGGATAATTCTTAACTTATTTATTTGACTCGAGAAACTGATGTTATTAATATTTGTGGGCCAATTTGGGTGCTTAATTGGTAATTGATTGTGTGTTTGAATTTTGAATGTCCTAGATTCAAAGGGGGAAGCCACATAAACTTGCACTGAGAATGGCATAGACTTTATAAGTTGTAACCTTCCAGCACAAAATGAGTAGTTGGTAGTCCAAAACTCCTCAATTAAAGGATCACAGTGCTGTTTATTCAGTCTATTAGACAATAATAAAACTCCCAAATATCTAATTGGGAGGGTCCTAATAGAGAAATTAAGCTTTCTGAGAATTAGGTTTTGAGTAGCAGTCTCTATACCAGATCAGAATATGACACCTCTTTGCATTATTTGGAATCAAGCTAGAAATAGAAGTTAAAACTAAATTGAGCTATTGATTCTGTCAGTATTTTAACAGATTCAACATCCCAGCTGTGATTAACATAAGATCATCAACAAAAAGGTCCATTACTTATCCTCTGAGCTGAGCATTTCCAATGGTAATCAAAACCCCCTAGAGTTATTCTCTAATTAAAAATACGAGGTAGAACCTTCATTCCTATAACAAATGGTATGAGGACATTGGATCCTTCCTCCTTCCCTTATTAGGTAAACCATACGACCATTAACATCCAAGGAAAAGAACTTTTCAACAATTTCAATAAAAGAAATAAAAATAAAAACTGTAAGTGTTTTTTTTTTTTTCCTTTTATCTATTCGATTGGGTTAAGTGATGCTTTATATATGCTTATTTTTGTGTGTTTTACCTATCATTAACGTGCTTAGTTGGATTAATTCCGAAGAATGTGTATTGAATTAATGAATTAGGAATATATGAGTAGTCCCAAGTGCCTTTGTAAGCTAGCAGATTTGAGATTGAATCTTTTCAACATGTAATGTGTAGAAGTGCAAATTGGTAAATTTAAGTTGGACTGTTATGTCCATATATGTGCTCTATCCTTCCTTTTTGTATCTAATGTGCCTGTGTTGGTAATTTATTTGTAGATGTTGAATACCCGGTGTTCTCCAAATAAATTCAAGGAAACGGTTTGCAATTTAAGTGAAGACAAAAAGGTTGCCGTACAAGAGATTGGGTTTGGGTCCCTTTTAGACATCGAGTGTACCATTTTGAAGCGCAACCTGTGCTTATGGTTGGTAGAACACTTTGACCCTAGAACATCTCATCTCACCCTTGAATCTGGCGCTCGGATCCATGTTACGCCAAGTGACGTTGAAGAGGTACTTGGCCTACCCTCGGGAAGAGGAGAAGATGTGCCAAATTATATTGTACAAAGTGTGCATTGGTTAGAAAATGGCATTTTTTTAAAGGACGGTGTAATAGAAGTGCCAAACTTAGTGCATCAATTAGACGTTCTTCCTGTTGGGGATGACTTCAAGAGGGCTTTTGTCCTTTTCGCTTGCGGATCACTTCTAGCACCCATATCGAAAAATGAGACAAGCAAAAGGTTATTGGCAGCGGTTGACAATGTGGATGCTATTAAATCGTATAATTGGGGGAAGTTTGTTTTAGATTGGTTGAAAAAAGGAATTGCGTCCTATAAAGGAAAGGAAGGAAGAGAAGGTTGTACATACATACATGGATGCTTGTTCTTTCTCATGGTATGTTCTAAGATATAATATTTGTAATGTGTCTATCATTTTATTTTAAATAGCTATAATGTCATTATCATAATGGCTTATATGTTGTAGCTTTTCTACCTACACCGTGTGGATGTCAATGGACCAAAACCGAAGCCTGAGATGTCATGCGTACGTGGATGGACCAACAAATTAATAGGCGAGAGGTTGAATTTGGAGAAGCATAAATATAATGGTTTCGGCTTCGGTGAGGTAAAGTTTACAACTGATACATCTGAAGATGCCGATAAGGTAATCACGTCAATTATGGCTTTTTATAATTGGTACTAAATATACGGTTATATTTGCATATTCATAATTACTTGGAACTCTACGGTTACATTTATATATTAACTGATATATATATTTATTAAACTTGTTTAAAATTGTTAGGAGTTGGCATATGAAATTATTAAAGTTGTTAAGAAATGGAAGCAACGGCACAATGTAGGCCAAGGCAGGGGGTCGAGATCCTCAGAACCCAGTTCATCCACACGACAACCTAACCCATCTTCGCAATTGTTTGCACAGCACAATCCGATTGAGGAGGAAGATGAATCCCACATACCAGTGGAGGAGGAATTCGAAACCTCCACAAGACAAGCAAACTCACCCTGGCAATCTTTTACAAAACACGATCCCATGGAGGAGGAAGGAGAAATCCCCGCACCAATGGAGGAGGAAGTGGGAACCTCCACAGCAATGGAAGAGGAGCGTGATGTGCAGGAAGCAGTGATCCCTTTATTACGTGTTATAAAGCCTGGGCGCCATAAGGGATCACCTTGGGTTGAAATGAAGGTCAACCGATTGCGTGTCCTTCGTCCAGAAGCAAAGGCAGTCATCTCATATGCCATGGATGAGAGCAGAAATGATGAGTGAGAAATTATATAAATAATTTCTTATTTGCTCTATATTTACTTACTTTCTATGCTCAAACACTTAATATGTTATTGTTTAATTATAGTGAAATGCTGGTGAACATAAATGATATTTTCCTCACAAGAAAAGAGATGAGAACAATCTCTTACAATCATTGGATATCAAATATGGTATGTTCACTTAAAGTTCATTGATTTTTCAAACCAATCACACGCATGCATTAATGGTTTAAATGTGATCATTGTAGGTGGTTGAAGTCTATTGCCAAATGCTCCAGCTGAAACAAAAGCGTAGAGGAACCAAATTTTTCTTTCCGCCTTCGATTGGGGTAACAAATTCTTCTATCTATAGTGAATGTTTGTTTGACACATATTAGGTTATCAATTGTGTGCATTTTCAGATTGAACTTTCCAAGATACCTTCAAAAGTGGTTGATAGGAAAGGTAAAATACAAGCAGTTTGGAACAACTATAAAAGGATAAGGAATGTCGATGATAACAAAGTTTGCCAATTCAATATGGTAATATTTATCGCTTGCAAACATAAATAATTATTATACTTTTATCAAAAAAATATGATTCTAAAAGTAATTAAATTTTTACATTGTTAAATATGCAGCTTTTCTTTCCAATACTTGTAAATGAGAAACATTGGTGCTTGTATGTCTTTAACATTTGCGATAGTCGTATGGATGTGTTGGATTCAAACAAACATTCTTCGCATGATAAGCGTACTCCAGACAAGATGTCAAAAGATTTGGTAAACGCTTATTACATATGAGCTCATTTTTTTGATTATGTATTCATTTACTGTTTTCGGATGCCTGTCGGTTAAGATTGTCACAATGCGACCATCTAGAATCTCTTTCACCTTGCTCAAGAACCAATGCCAATCATCATCATTCTCAGAAGAAACAACAGCATACGCCAAAGGCCACAAGCCATCATTCGCATCGAACCCCGTTGCACCAAGCATTGTTCCTTTATAATTGCCACTCAAGTGGCAAGCATCGATTGCTAACATGGGCCTGCAATAGTTGATGAAACCTCGTATGGAGCACCCATAAGCTACAAACACTCGCTTAAATCTCCTATCATCCGTGCACTCCCACGATGTAATTGTCCCAGGAATATATTCTGCTATTCGTTCACACAACCACGGGACTAAAATATAGCTATCCTTGGGATTTCCCTCAATGATATGACGTGCACACTCCTTAGCTCTCCACGATTGCATGTAAGTCATTTTAGCAGAAAATTCACCGTTTATGTCTGTGGAAATAGTCTTGGGGGTGCATTTAGGATTGTCCCTAACCTTGTTCACAATAGCTCGACCCATTTCCTTCGACCAAAAAATGGCTTTATAATCTGAAATGTCTTGAGCAGTGTGAGTGTGAACATTATTAAACCGCTTGATTCTCACTATATCACCACTTCCTTCACAACCAGCTGATAATTTCCATGGACAATTATTAACCTCGCACACAACTCTATAATATTTTCTGCTATTGTCCAAGTACTTGAACCGAAAATGATTACGAAGACCAAACAAAACGAGTGCATCTTTGAAATCATTTGGGCTGTCAAAAAGCTGATCCACGCAAAGAATGTCATCAATGTGTCGGAAAGAATCCCGATGCGCATTTATCGGAGGAAATGAAGACGTTGACGCAACACTTTGTAGAAGACCAATTGGCGATGTGGCTTCAACAAATTGTCTACAAGTGGATAAAAAGGTATATTAAAAATCACATAACCTATGCAGCGCATACATCAATGTATTACTTTAAATATATGTGTCTTACCTCTCACTATGATCAGTAGGAATTGTGCATGATGCAATTACAGGCTCTGCATCTTCCATATACACATTTAGCATGGGACCACTCACTAGAAGCATCACTCTAAATCCAGATTCTCCCGTCATCCTCAAAAGTTCATTCTTGTTAGATTCGGTGGTATAATATATGACTTTACCACTCATGTTTGAAGATGAACGTTGTTGTAACTCATTTATAAATGATTCGTATGTTGTTGTTGTTGTAATCATAAAAGGGTCTGTGACACCGCCGATGTATATAATTTCCCCATTCTCATTTTTGTCAATTTTCCCATCAAATCGACAATAGCATATAATTTGTCTCTCATCCATTTGTCCAACTGCTTCGAAAATTGACTCATTAGTTTAAAAAAAAAAACTAAATATGAAGTTCAAAAAAAAATGAAATATAAAACAATTAAATATCATAATTATATAATGTAATTTAGAGATCTATTTACACCGAAACACTACTAATTCCCTCAATAGGGATAGGCGGTGTCAAGATTAAACTTTTCCTAAACACACACTACAGACCTTTTTCAAATCAAAATACAACCACAAAATCAATGCCATTGATTACTAGATAATTGTATCACTATGTGTACAACAAACATATATACAAGATGAGGGAGATTATGAGATGAATAGAGAGTTAAATGGGACAATATAGATTGAAAATAAAAAATTGAGAGTTAAATAGAGAGAGAGCAGAGTGTTGATTATTTTTCACACACAAATATTATATGTGTAAGTCTTGAAAATGGGGGAGACAAGTACAAGGGAATGTTGGAATAATAAATTAATACTAAATACATTTTTTTTATAAATTAATGCTAAATACATATATTAAAAAAGCCTCATTCATAGAGTTTGCTAGCTTTTGCATCAATTCTATCATGTGCGTAGATGCCTAAAGACATATTACACAGAGGTATACTCTACATGCCATTTGAGAAAGAGGCAACAATCTTGAATAATTCTTGATCTAAATTGAGTTATAATAATTAATTATACATAAAAACTAATTGGACTACCTATGTGTTGGTGGCTTTGAATTTTAACTCCTAAATTCCTACGTTCTGCTGAGGATTTAGTCTGCAGTCATCAAAGAGCCTTGAATATATAGCTTGAATACAGATATAGCTGATTTAGTCTGACTCTTTTTGTAGGAAGATACAGATATAGCTGATTTTACATAGATATTATTTTCTAACGGAGTGAATTGATACTACTCATAGCTATCGACCAATATTGTGGTGTGTATTGGTTATAACTGACAATGTGAATTTAAAATTTCAAATGGATATAACCATGGTCAGTATTAATGGTTTTAACTAAATTTTGATATTTCCATTAAAATGGTATCTCTCTTTGATTTTGGATCATGTGTGTGGACATTAAATTATGTGTTGATTTGTAAGGTTGCTTTCAGATTTGGACAAAAATAAAATGAAAGTCTTGATAGTTTGTTGATGTAATGAGCTTAAAAATTTAAAATTATATGCTTTGAATATATATCTATATCAGTCCATGGCAACTACTGCTTAATGATAAATAAGCCGTGAAACTACTTTGATCATATGGAGCTTATTAGTTGCATCATGATTACTACTAGTTTTGTGTATGTGTTCCATTATGTACTAGTTAATGTGTGGTATTTAGGCTTATGGCCAGTGTGTGTGTGTTAAAATCATGTATAAACATACATATATATGACAAAGTCGTGTTATGTTTAAATATTTCAGCCTAACTCTTGTAAAAATTAGAACAAATTCATGTTGGTTTGGATGACTCCTAAAGGTTTTTTGTTTGGAAGGTTAAACAAGTATTATTATACCATTTCTCTCATTCCTTCTCTTTCTCCTTCCAAATCGAGGTACGTTAGGGTTTTCTCTCCCCTAATGGCACACGTGTTCTATGGACCTGTATTAGAGTATAGTTCACACTATGATTCTTAAGATTGATGTGCTTATTGACGGTCCAGTGCTGTTTCAATCTCCTCCTAACAGCACTTAACATAATCATAAACTAGATTTAGCTCAGCCATTTTGTCTTGAAGTTTTTCCTCAATCTCATTGGGAAGCTATTCATGTAGTGGCTGAAATATGTTTGTTTTTTTATGATCCAAACACACTCAAACAAACAAGAACAGTGACCAATAGCTAGCCGCAGAAGTTACAATAGGTGTAGCTAGCCTATGACAAGTGTGTTTGTGTTAAAATCTAGGTTATACAATTCTTTTTAACAGGTGTAAATCTAGCTCCCATTCTCACGATTTGTTTGTAATTTAATTTTGTTGCTTTTGCGCTCTATCTACCACTTTATGCGACTTAGTATAAAACCAAATATAAATATTAACTTACTGAATTTTTCTGTTACTATCAAATACCATTAAAGCAAAATTACAAAATTAGACCCTCCCTCACAAGAAACAAAATTTTAAGAATTTATTAATCACTCTAATCGATTGCAATAGGCTGCCAACATAGTTAATTGAGAGTCGATAATTCAAAGAGCATTTCATTTTATTTTTGTCCAAAGCTGAAAGCAACCTTACAAATCAACACATAATTTCATAATCACACACATGATCCAAAATCAAAGAGAGATACCATTTTAATGGAAATATAAAAAAATAAGATGTTTGGATACAATTGAAAATCAAAAAATAAAAGTACATGAAGCACCAGATTTAAAATTAGATTCCTCATAAGTACAAATAATTCTTTGAGACTACGCTTTCATGAGTACAAATAATTCTTTGGGAGCTCCGAGAATTAGTGGGGTAAAACCATGTATATCTCGATTGCGAGAAATATATATAATGCAGCTAAAAGAGCATAGGCAGATTTAATAAGGCAATCCCCACAAAAATCTATAAACTCTACCATGTTTGAAGGCTTTTCTCTTAAAACAGACTTTAGTAGTACTACACTTATCTGTTTCCCATTGAAAACTTTAAATCACCCATTAGCTGTTTTGATTTTGATTTTGATTTTGATTTTGATTCCTTTCCTAGTGCAAAGACATGTAGTATCCGTATTCACCTTCACATAAAGGTGGTGTCTTTGGTTTGATTGTAGTGCCAGAGTTTTGGACCAAAAAAATCAGATCCACCTCAAAGAGAGAGAGAGAGCTCTCTCATGTAGCCTTTTCAAAACAGAGCAAAATACAAAGAAATATTGTCAGTGTTCCCTCAACCTCTTCACTCCTCATTTATGAAACCTGTCTTTCTTTATTTATTTGACATCAAAGCTCTATCAAGTGAAATTCTCAACTCAACTCACAATATTATATATATATATATATATATATATATATATATATATATATAATATGTTTTTGGAGTAAGTGTTGTGATTCTGTACACAATAGGAGATTATTTATTATCTATTATTAGAAAATCGAACAGATAAAATGAGAAACTTTGGGAATACCCCCCCTAAGGTAGTGTGTTTAATTGTGGCATTCATATTAAGTCATCAATTTAATATGTATGTTCCACAATATATTTATATATATGCACGGGTGTAGAATATATTAGATAAAAAAGTAGTGTTACTCTTCAATTTATACAAAAAGTAATGTTACTCTTCAATTTAGTTCTAACTTCTATTTCTACTTTGATTCCAAATAATGCAAAGAGGTGTCATATTCTGATCTGGTATAGAGAATGCTACTCAAAACCTAATTCTCAGAAAGCTTAATTTCTCTATTAAGCTCTCCTCTTCGCACTTCTTCAGCTCTCACGGCTGTTGGGGAAGTTCTTAAAAAATCGGCAAACTCTCTCTCATCTCCAAGAGAAATGCTGCCCAGAATTGACGAGAGTGGCAGGTTTTGCAGCCCCAGAGCCGCCAGAGAGATCACCTTCTATGTCCCCCTCTTACCAATTTTTGTTTTTCTGTGTGTGTATATATATAGAAAGTTCGGGCTATTTGTTTTGGTTCTTTGATGGGTTGAAAATTGCTTGAATTTCAATGTCAGGATAATTATTTATGCGGCGTGTTTGGAGGGTTATGACCCAATTCGGCTATTCAAGAAGAGAATCAACGCCCGAAGAGGTATTAGTATTACCAATGCTATGTCTTGTTTTATGACAATATGTTTATCTTCGGAGGAGTTTTTCTGCATCCCTTTTGATAAAACTGAATAAGTACTTAATTTATTTATTTATTATTATTTATATAACTGGTGTTTAGATAACTACCTACTGCTTTATATTTTCTCTTTTTCATCTCGTTAGAAACTAAATAACTTCCAAAGCATCAGTCTTGGACAGAATTTTGATCGAAATTTACTTCTTTCTTTCATTCTCTCTTTCTTTTCCCGTAAATACAATTTAGACGTAAAGGTCATATAACAGTTTTCCCATTATTGTTCGTGTCTTGTATTTTCAACTGAATTTGGGCTTAGGTATAAAGCAGCTTGCACTCTTCACCGGTTGGGGGGGGGGGGGGGGGGGGGGCGCGGGGGGAACTTGTAAGCATATCTAGAAATTTGTTGTTTAAAACCATTCAAATTTCATGAACAGATGGTGAAGAAATCTTTTCCATTTCTGGTCATTGCATGGCAATATCTTAGACTAAATTTTTTAATCGTTTAAAAATGTTAACATATTCAATCAGTCTACTAAAAAGAATTATTTATCTAATTTATTTAAATGTTGGTAATTATCAGACACCAAGGCCATCACTGACATGCTCTAAAATGCTATGTTTCCCTAGTGAAAACATTTACCAAAGACTTCCAACCTTGTAAGCTAAGGCACAAATCATAGCATAACCATGAAGATTTGTTACTTCATCTATAAGGCACAAACAGAGTAGCTTCTTCCCTTTTGTTTTATATTGAGAACTAAAATCTTTATTAGTGATTCTTAACACCCAAGATATTAATCATGAAATTATTATAAAGCATTTTCATTTAATTGAACCAAACTCAAATTTTATATTTAATTACATTTCAACCACTAAACCACAACAAATATAGTATGTATGAAAAACTTGTTTTTAATTTAATATTGTAGAACCAATACTAGTAATCTTAAACAATTCTTTTACTAAGCAAATGCAAATGGGAATGTAGATTTCACAAACATTTGATAACAAGTGTCCCTACCCAAAGACTATCACATGCATGCCTCTTTACAGTTTACATTCATTGATTGTATCATAAGGTCTCCAGAGCAAATGACTTATGAAGATAGGATTTAAGCTTGTTACCTTGGCACAAGCTAGTTAGCTAACTAGTGAAATCCAACAAAAAGCCTGTAGGCACCACACGTACTGCCACTTGCTTCCACATGGTCCTAGTAAATTTAAAGAACATGA